CTCCTCAACCCAATCTCATCTTTTTCTCGTTAACGATTGGTAATGATTCTGTTGTCCTGGAGAGAAAAACAACCTTTTAAAGTGCCAATTACGTTTGCCCCCGTCGAGATAACCCGGTACACGACGTGCTCTGGCACATCTGGCTGAGACACAGCTGGCAGCACATCTGTCAGACTCCAGCCCGGGCAGAAGGACTGAAACGGCGGCCATTTTGGACCCCGCCGCCGGCGTCCCCTCGTTAGCATCGTTAGCATCATGTGAGGCCTCCCGTGTGTCAGCGGGTTCAGTGTGTTTGTGTGTGTTTTCGAGCCGTGCGTTTGCGCGTTTGTGTGCGTTTGTGTTTGATTTTCCATGCAGTCACTGCCCTTAAGTCTGGGACTTACCAACGGGTCTGGACCTGCTCTGCTCATTCCCAGAGCGCCAGCCTCCTCCTGGGCTGACAGTAATCCCCTGAGTACAGAATCCAGAGGTGTGTGTGTGTGTGGGGGGGGCGGGAATGTTGGGTTGCATGCACCCCTTTAGGACTGGTCTAAGTGGGCCCCCGCTAGCTTGGATCCAGCTAGCTGTCTATCACCTGTTTTTTCCACTTTTCCTTTTCTAAAATCCTCCCAAAAAATCCTCCAAAAGGCTGTTCGGGGGGGGGGGAAATACCGTAAATGACTGTCTGACATCAGAGCCGAGGCTCATCAACCTACTCACGGTTTCTAAATAACAAGTGAGCACATGCACGGCAGGCTCTGAAATCAATCACAAAGTTTCCAAACTCCGGCGCCATAATTTAAAAGGTTTATTTCTTTGCTTTGGTAGTATTTACAAAACAGAAAACATCCAATAGTAAGTGCCCTATAAAAATCACGACAAGCGGAAACGATGTGTCGCTTAGAAAATGTTGAAGTTGACATAGAAGTTGACATGACAGGCAATAATTTACCGAAATGATGATAAAAAATAATGCTTCCAGAAGGCCGACACCAGTAACGATGGAGAACCAGGAGGAGGAGATGCTGCCCTCTGATATGGCTTTAGGTTTCAAGAAACAACACAATAAAAGTGGAAAACGGCATGACCTGTAATAAAAACAACACAGACAGGAGGAAGAAATAAACTGATGGATGGTTCCTTTGAAATGATTGGCCGGCTGAAGAGTCAGAGGGAGTTTCCCGGTGGTCGGACTATCCACGTGGGGTTTTTCCTTTTTTCTTTTCTTTTTCTTTCTTTTTACGACATAGTTTGAGAAACACCTGCATGGCTGTGGTCCAGGAAAACCCCAGCAGAGGCCACTCACCCCCCCCCCCCCGGGAGTCCAGCAGAAACGGCCCGTCCAGAAGTTCCTCCACCAACATCATTTTGGTCCTTTTTGTGCTTTTTCTCGTTTTTTTCTTGGCTCTCGGTCCTTTTTCCAGGCCAGACCGACACGGTTTTTCGTACACGTCCATCAAACAAATAAATTAATTCATTAAAAAAAAGCAGGTGTTTTACTAAAGTAGGGATGAGTATATACATAAAAAAGCATCATCTATAGCATCTATGTGGACCCCGGCTGGTGTGGGCCCTACTGTGGGGGCGGGGCCTGTTGGGGGAAAGCTGGAGATCCTAGAAACCTAAAAAAACTTCTCTTCCACCACGTCTACAATTTCTCTTCTTCTCCATCACGCGCTCCTGTCTGTAGTTTTAAAAAAACCGGCCTCCTCCGTTGACGTGATCTTCCAGGAGAGGCGGAGGTGGAGCTTTAGCTACACTTGCAGGACGACACTATCATGTTGGAGAGGTTTTCCACCTGGGAGTAGAAGGAAACGGTGAATCACGTGGAAGGAGTGAGCTCCCATCCATGGCTGACCATGTTCTACATACCTTGTGCTGCCGGCCCACGTAGTAGATGATGGTCAGCGAGTGCAGGGCCTGGGGAACGCAGCAGGGCTGGGCGGACGCTCCGGGGTTGTGATGCTGATACAGAGCCAAAATCTGAAGAAAACCGCATAAATCTCTGTTACTCCCTTGTGTTTTTATTTATTTTTATTGTTTATACTTTATGCACCTTTTCCTCCTTGTTTGGACTTTTTTTAATCACTAAACTAGTGAATTTATCCACTGTGAGATCAATAAAAATGATCTTATCTTAAAGAAATACCATGAAATGAACTCAAAAGATTTTTTTTTAGTTTAGACGTCTTTCACCTGCAAGCCTCATTCTGCCTCTTTTTCCGGAGCTCTTTTGGAAAATATTAGGAGTTCGTTATCACTAATAGGTGGTAAAAATGTAAGGAAAAGTTCAACTCACCACACTAAACCGAAGCCTTTGCAGCTTCACAATGTTACAATCATCTCATAAAAAGTAATTAAATACAGGAAAATGAGGAAGGCAGTTCATCTGTCCATCTATTTACTATTCCAGTTTAGATTTACAGGAATAAATTAAAGAAATACTGGATGAAAAGGATCAAGCGTCTCCAAAAAAGTTACTGCTGGACAAAATGATTCTTCCCTTTCTTCCATTAAGGATCGGAGGGGCTCTTAAAGAGAGCTTTGCAGCTCCTTTCCTTAACGTTGGGGTCCTTTAAAAAGCCCTTGTGAGAAAAAGTAAGCTCACACCCGTCTTCCTGTCCAACATGGGTGACTTTTCTCATCCTAAACTTGATGATTGAGGCGTAATCTCTTCTTCTGATTAGCTTTATCTCATCAGATTTCAGGAATTAATCCAGAAAAATACAGGTTTCTCTGGAAAACCTGGTTCTGTGAAAGCACCCTAAAGAAAAAAAAGGTGAAATAAAAATGCATCTTTGGTCATTTCTGTCTCCCAAAAGCTCATAAAGTGATGCCACATTGGTTTCAGTCTTCTGTTTAAAACCCCTGAGGCCTTCTCAGACCATGTGAGAGCTTGCTGCATATCTTACCTGAGAGTATTTGTTTTCCGTATTCCAGATGTAGGTGCAGGACCCCATGCAGTAGTTGGCGAAGTAGCCTTTGGGCTCGTGTATCCACTTCCAGCCCAGATCCTTCCTGAAGTCGATGTACAAAGACTTCACAGAGCAGGCTTCTGTTTGGCCTCTTTTAGGAAAACAGGGAGACGACTTTAAGAGTTGGGACAGAGATTTCCAGAGCGTCCCTAACAAGTTGTTCTCAGGATACCCCAAAAGATTTGAATGGAATCGAAGTCAAATATCTGTCAAAATTCAGTGTCAAATCGAGGTTTTATCTACTGGAAGAATTTAGGAAAGAGGACAGAAAATGCTGTAGGGAAGCAGAAGATTGAAAAATGCTTTGTAGGTGCAGTAATTTTGAAATTAAAAGAGACCAAATGCTCTTTTTTTTAAGCAAAAGAGGTGACCTTCTAGTAAGGCTGACCCACAGTCTTCCCGGACCTGTATGTCTATGTGTCTGTTTTTTATATGATCTCGGACGGGCTGTAATGAAATTAGAATATCTTGAAAGAGCAATTCCAAGGGATAAATAAAGTTGAGTCTAAAGTCTATAGTCTAAACTTTAGACTATAGACTTTAGACTGAACTTTCTTTATATCTTGGAATTGCTCTAGAGTCTAAACTTTATACTCTAGACTTAAGACTCTAAAGTCTAAAAGTGGGGTGATAGTGGATGCTTTGGCTTAATGGGACACTTATGGGTGAAACTGTTGGGTGGTTGTCATATGCTGCCTTAGTCATTTGCACATAAAAATTGGTTCGATAAAAAGTTCAATTTCACTGAAGCTGACCCAAAATGCGCCCCGACAACCCCAAATGACCGGCATGTTACTGACTGGACTCCCCTTTCCCGTGGTCGTAGCTTTCTCCTCCCTCTCCTCTCTCCTTCTATCACTTCCTACAGATGTTCCTAGAGCTGTGGAGTCTGGATTTGTGGTTGGGAGCCTACTCTGTTCCTACTCTGCTACAATTACAGCCACTGTTCATAGTCTACTATTAGTCTATTATTGCTGCTATCATTAGCATTAGTATCCTGAGCCATGGTTATGCTCCAGGTTTCTGCCTGTTAACCATTTAAAGCCTGATCCAAGAAAAATAGCAAGAATATTGGATTTTATTAGTGTGAAGTCTTTCTTTGGTTCTCAACAACATATGAAAAAAAAAACAGAAATGATTTTGATCAAATTAGCATGCAATAAGTCAAAAATGTATTTTGGTGTAGTCTTCTACTGGCTGTTATCAGGTATATCTGAATGTGTACAACAGGCAAAGCAAAGCTTTTACCATTGAATGATGCAAAAAGTCTCAGATCAAAAAGACTTCAGAAACCGTGTGAATCAAATATGATGCATATGGTATTATAGGGTTAAAAGGAAGTTTTTCCCTCCCTGTGTCTCCTAGTGCTGCTCTTGGTTGGAACAGTTTTTCTTCTGTAAATAACTTCAGAGTCCGGTCTGACCTGCTCTGTTTGGAAAGCTGGGATATAACTGTTTTTGGGATGTGGAGCTATAGAAAGAAAATTTAATTGAGTGTAATGGGGGGGGGTGGGGGGGTGCTGGGCGCTGCTCACCCTGAGGCGGCGTCGGTGGAGCGCCTCCGGCGGGAGGTGA